TTGGCTTTGAGCTAGATATAACATATATATTAATACATTATATTTATGTATCATCATATGTATATAAAATGTCAGATGGTGATAAGTGCTATGAAGGGAGGTTAGAGAAGTCATCTCTGATGAGAGGATATTTTAGTAAAGACCTGGTAAGGGAAAAAGTAATGTAAATATCTCCCAGAAGAGATTTAGGCAAAGGGAATAGGAAAAACAAAGTACCTGAGTTTGGAGCTTTTTGACTCCCACCATTGTGGCTGGAGTAGAATGAGCAAAGAGGGAATTCTGTAAGAGGAGATCAGGAGAGTAACAGGGTGTATGTGTGTTTGCGTGCTGGGCGCACGTAGCGATGGGAGGTGAGGAGTGTGTGCCTGCAGATGATTCGGGGTCCTGTGGACCTTGAATTCTGTTCTGAATGAGACGTAAATTCACTGGATGACTTAGCAGAGTGACATGATCATATTTTTAAAGGATCACTCTTGCTTAGAGGTTCCTCATTTTGGGTTCCTTTGGATAGGATTTAAGGAATCCATGAACTTGGATGAGAAGGAAAAAAATAGATCTTTAGTAACCTCTAATTGAGATTTAGCATTTCTTCCTATTGTGGTGTATGCAACAAAACATAGTAGTATTAGTAGTTTCTGTGACTTTTTCATGAATGGCAATCACAGATATTTTAATATCATTTTACTGTTATTGTAGACATATTGAAAAATTTGTGCTCATCACTACTTCAGAGTTTTTATAGTACTAGGCTCACTGCTAGGTTTTGTTATTTAGTGTTTTAATATAGAAGAAAACTCCAGGTAGAGGGAAGAACCTCTGTTCACAGGCCTTTAGGCCCTGATAGGAGGGAAAAGCTTGATGTGTTTGAAGAACTGAAAGAAAGCTAATTTCGCCAGGCCCCATGAGCAAGTGGGAGTGGAGTGTGAGTCACGGTTTGGACAGACAGGCAGGAACCACATTCAGCCTTTGCAGGAGATTATGAGGAATTTGGATTTTGAGCAGTGGAAGGCTAAGCCAAATGTCATTTTGGTCCCTGAATAAAGGGTATGAGAGCTGGGTGAGGAGACTGGTTGAAAAGGCTACTTCAATCTTCTGGCTAAGAGATGATTCTGGTTTGTAGGATGGCATTGGCAGTGGAGATAGAAGAGGACAGTTTTAAAAAGGTTACTTAGGAGCTTAAGCAGATGACAGTTACTGAAAGATCATATAGGGGTAGGAGAAAAAAGGTTGTGTTGGAATGCGTTCCCTGTTTCTGGTTTAAAATGTTCCAGTATGCTCTATTTTGATGTCTTCAAACCACTTAATTCACCTACTATCCCCATTTTTAGTAAGAAATTCTTCCATAATAATAGCTATCAAATACTGAATACTTTCACTCCAAGACATTTACATACATTGCCCCTTATCCTCCCAGTAATCCTGAGTTAGCTTTATTCTCCTTTTGCAAGGGAAGAAATGGTAGCTTAGAGAGGTTAAGTAATTGCTTGGGAGGATACAGCAATTAACTGTCAGAATTGGAACTCAGCTCTCATCAGTCTACTTCTGGTTCCTGTTATCTTTCCATGGCAGTATGTTGTACTGTGTCTTAATTTCTTTCTGTCTTCCTTAAACTATAGCTGCCTCTCCTCTCAGTTACTGGCGTGGTACATAAGCAAGTCTCTCTTCTCCCAAGATCAGCATCTCAAAATTCCAAGGCAAACAGTATTTTCATTGAATCCCCAGTATAATATTCTGAGTTTCCCTATCTGCCACTTAACATAAAATTAGTTCAATACCTTAGAC